AGTTCAAACAGTACTTGCTTTAGGGAGTTGCTGTTAAGAATAGATCACAACTTCAGACAGAACCCTTGGAGCTTAAGAATTAGTAGGAAAATCACAGGACAGATAGAAGTTCACCAGGCAGTCAAAGTGGAATGGGGCTTGGAGAAAAGGCCAGAGGCCTGCATGAGGGCAAGAAGAAACTTGACAAGTGAATTCTGCAGGTAGTGTTCTGTCTGTTTGTGAAGGGGCGTGGGAGTTCAGGCAACTGAAGGAAGAGGAGTTAGAAGAGAGAGGAGAAGGCTGATGATAATAAGAAGAGTCCTCTGAACCGCTCCTGACAACTTGCAGCATCATCCCAACATGGTTGAGCCCAAGGAGACTTTTTCCATCGTCCATCTAAACCACAAAATTGAGTCCTCGATTGCCCATTGTCATTTGGGGCCTCAAGGACTTTACAATAAGTATGAGGATTATGGCTTTTGAGTCCTGGGATATTTCTTATTTTAGCTGAGCACAGGCTGCCCCCTACTGACCGTTCTGGATGTTTTCATCCTGAATGGGTTTACTTGATATTGTCAAGCGTTGCTATGGCCTTTGTCCTCAGGGCGATTGCAGAAAAAATGGAGAATAAAATCTGTAAACCTGTGCATCACTTAAGACTGTGGTGTTGAGTCTATTTAAAATGTCTCAGAAGAGACCCGTCTAGCATTAGACCCTGTACATATTGGGGCCGGCCCTGTGGCCCAGTGGTTTAAGTTCTCGCGCTCTACTTAGGCAGCCCAGGGTTTCACCAGTTGGGATCCTGGGAGCGGACATGGCGCCACTCATCAGGCCATGCTGAGGCGGCGTCCCACATGCCGCAGCTGGAAGGACCCACAACTGAAAATATACAACTATGTACTGGGGGGCTTTGGGGAGAAAAAGGAAAAATTTTTAAAAATCTAAAAAAAAAAACCTGTACAAATTAGTGTGGCTGGGCCAAGAGTAATTTTAACAGAACCCAGAAGGTATATATAAAGGCCTCCAACTCCTGGCGCTTGTAATTTGGCAAGACTTGTAGTGATGGAGAACTTGCGTAGACCCAAAGTTCAATAGGAAAAAAACCACGCGTGTATAATGAAGAAAAGTATCTGCATCATTTGAAAGCAGAGTGCATTTGGAGGGTGTGCTTTTGAGGGGAGGAGGAAAGGAAAGCATGAAGGAGAACTCCAGAGAGTCGTGAATTAGGTTCCATGCTCTGGCCAGGCACACTGAAAGGGAATTGATGGCACTATGTTACTATTTTCTATTGAACAAATAAAATTTTATTGTGTCCTTTTCTACAGTAATAAAACCAATTAAAGATTAAATATTAACTAAATAATTCATAGTGGATGAGATTATGAGTTCTTAATCTTGAAATGGTACCATAAATGTTACACAGGAGAAAGACTGGGTAAACACTGCTTATACAACAGTTCTTTATTTCATTTATATATGTTCTCAGAAGCTATAAAGTTATGGCACATCTAGCAGTAGAGAAAGTAACATTACATCTAGAAACACAGCTTTTGTTTTAAAAGCTGGTGAAGAAACTCCTTGATTTTCAAATTAGCTTGAAGTTGTAGTTAGAATTTATCATGAGAATTTTGATGGAAACACCTGCCACGACTCTTTTTTTATATAGTTTATCTGAATTTTGAGAGTAATATTTAATAAATTCAGAATAGCCTTGAAAATGAATTGTTGCATATTCTTTATCTGAAGAAAATATGCTGCTGAAGCTGGCCATGAGACTATGGAATTGCCACATCTCAGATAATATGACTGAGTTTTCCATTATGCCCTTTGACGTGGCACTAAAGCAGGTGTTAGCAAACTTTTCTATAAAGGGCCAGAGAGTAAATATTTTAATCTTGCAGGCCGTGTAGTCTCTGTTGCAACTACTCAACTCTGCTGCTGTAGCAAGCACATTGCCATAGATGATAGTTAAATAAATAGATGTGGCAGTGTTCCAATAAAACTTTATTTACAAAAACAACTGGAGGGCCAGATTTGGCCTGGGGGCCATAGTGTGCCTTTCTCTGCTCTAAAGTAGAGCAACCTGGATGTTGCTCTATATTTACTAATACATTACATATTTGGTGAACAGTGAGGATGTCAGATTTGAGAATGGCTAGTAGATATTTAAATCACATCAGTGCGTACTTTTAAAACATTTTGATAGTAACAATAGTAAATTTGAAGTCTTTAACCAATTAATTTCTCGACACTTACTGTTTTTAGAATGTTTGTATGTGACACTTATCTCCCTCAAGGACCTAAATCTATATATATTTAGTCCAAAAGGGGAAAAGAAAGTCTATTGGAAAAAAGTGTGGAAATAAATTTCACTCTAGTTTTAGTGTAAATGAGGTTTTATTCGTGGATTGAATTTTAGAAAAGGGATAATTGAATCATTCCTGCCAGGACTCCTCTGCTTTGTAATCGAACAAACGTTTCCCAAATAAATCACACTTTTTCATCCCTTTCCAACTTTTCTCATAAATATTTACCCTAGAGTGCATAGGCCATACATGGGCATGAAGGTGAATTCTAGTTACAGGTTTTGAAGAGCGCTGTTTTTTGAAACACCTTTCTTTAAATGGCACATTTAACCGGTTCTCTTTATAGTGAGCCAAAATTCAAGGCCGGTTACAAATATAATGACTGAATAAACTGTGGGAGATTGCAGATACCCAAATATTGACATTGACATTCACGTACATTATGTGAATGTTTTGTGTCCTGCACTGGTAAAAGAAAGGTATAATTTTCCTCAAATTGCCTAATATGGACAAATCAACTGATTTCCATAAATCATCCTGAATATACTTTCATTTTAGTCATTGTCTCAAGACCTAAACAGTTTTTTTGTCTCATTTCTTTGCTTTTTAAGAGGTCATATATATATGTGTGTGTGTGTGTGTGTGTGTGTGTGTGTGTGTGTGTGTATAAATATATATATGCTATTAATCAGGACTTTAGCATCCTTAGCCCAAGATTAACAATCTATAATATTTTCAGATTCCCTCGATGGTATTTAACTATAATTATTCTTGGCATATATAAGCGTTGTCTGAAATCCTCCCCATCTCCATCTGTGTGTTGTTCTGGAGTGGAGATGGAGCCTGAGTGGTCACTCCCCCCTGCACGTTGCCAGGTTACGTGCTTGAAGTCCACTTCCTGCACAGCCATGATGCTCTCCAGCTTCATTCTGAGTTTTACCCCTACCTTGCAAAATCCCAAGTGATGAGATAGAAAGATTGTAATTGATCTCTAGAAGAAAGAGCATGTTACTCTGTTAAAAGTTGTACTAATTTCTATGCACCTTGAAGGATCAAATGAGGAAACTATTTTTTATAAAAATGAAACAAATAGAAACGAGAGATTTCTATTATTGCTGCAACTGCCATAAAATGAAATCAGCTTTAAATTATGCTGTTGTACTTCTGTTTCCTAGAGAGTTTGAAGATCTGTTCAATGGGTAACCTGATGCTAATTACTTGATTTCTATTCATATGTTAGACTGTAAGTTTATCAATTGTATTTATTAATTTTATTTATTAAACTAAATTTGGGAAAGCTAATATATGTTATTTGCATCTGCGAGAGAAGAGTGTTTTCTTTGTCTTACACATATATGGTATTTCATATTCTTCAACATCCATGCACATCTAAATCAGCCATCACTTAAGATTTTGGTAGTATATTCCTTTCTTAAGAAGGTTCACCACTGCTCTTCTTTACTTGCTGCAAAGATTATTCCCAAAAGAAACAGCATAAAATTATTAATACTTTATCCAGCAAATGGAAATTTAGAGAACAATTTCTTGTTGTTTCTGGTGGGTTTTCTTAATGAGAAATGAGTTAATTTTGCTTTCATGAAAACATGCACATCGAGATGAATTTCTGGTGCCTCTTGAAGACAGAATATTATTTCAAAGACTCTAGGCGGGCTGATCAATGCAAATGGAGTTCCATCATGTAGAACATCATATGTTCTTATCTTAATGAGAGCTTGATCCCTCTGGCCTTTTGCTGCTAATATTTTATTGTGCATAAAATTCCCCTGGAGAACTGAGCTAAAGATGCTGATTCTCATTCACATAGTTGGGGATGGAGCCCAAGTAGCTGAAATTTTATCTGCACCTCGGAGTTTCTGATGCGGAAGCGACACAGAACAAACTGGGATGGACTATCTTCTAGGTTCTCTAAATGTCGTCCAGAAATGTAATAAGGCAATAAGCAGCATTATCTTACCAGCTTCTGGTATTAAAATGGATGGCTCTTCCTTGAATTCTTTCATTTCAGACTTCTTCTAATTGAATTTGAGTCAAGACCACATCTAATTATTTTTTCTGCCTCTGCTAATTAGCATAGGGGAAGCCACTGGAATGAGGGCTGAGGTCGGGATAAATATCAGGCAGGAAACATAGAAGGACGCTTTGATGATGGCTGTGAACATGTCCTGAAACAATATGGCAAACTGGCAGGAGGTTGGGGACACCACTGAAGCAGGCAGCCAGACCATCCTGTTTTGAATAAGAGCTTTGGGATCTGTCTCCATCTGAAGACCAACAAGAAATCACAATGTCTCTGCCTAATTGCTGCTCCCAAGATTGCAGGAAAACATTATCAACCAAGATGCTAAATTTCCTGCAGCCAGGCCTGTGTTTCTATACACACCAGTCACTTTGAGCAGTAAGAAACATGAGGATTCGAGTTTCCTACCCTGCACTGATAAAGTTTAAATTGACTGTTTATTTAAAAACCCTTATTTGGAGCAGATTCAATGCTTACTCAAAAAAAAAAAAATGTGTCAGGGTGAGATGTGAGTTACACACAAAATAACGACTGTATGACTTTTATTAAAGGTATTTCACTGTGTATAATGCTTTCTGAAGCAGAAATGCAAAAAACAAAAACTCCATTATTCATGCTTTTTTCATATTCATACAGATTTGACAGTATAATAAAAATTGGTCTTCTGCTGTGGGCATAACTCTGAGCCCCTCAGTAATAAATGTTTTCTAGGACCAGGGGATTTATATGCAGAAATCATCTTCACAAAGCAAACTTTGTCTGAAAAACAAGGCTTTTGTTTTTAGGGGAGCCTTGCTATATTGCCAAGGGCGTTTATTGTTTATTGACGTTTATTATCAGATACGAATTAGGAAACAATTATAAAATGGTCCTAATCCTCCAGAAGTGTTTTAATCAATTTATATTTATTCACTTAAAAATTAAATAGAGAAAAACTCTTGTTCTCTTTCAGAGAATCAAGAGCAATCATTCAAGGGTGAACAATGGGAAATGTAGAAAGTGGTGTTCTGGTTAGGTGCTCAGCTAGTTAGACTTTAAAATCTCACGGTGTATTCAGTGCCCGCAAACAGAAACTCCTAGAACTGTTGAATTAAGTGCTGTATGTCTTCATTTAATTATGTTTAGAAAACAGTTTAATATATCAGTTGATAGGTTATCTCACTTTAATTGATCCACTGTTTTGAAGTATCTATTGTCTGGTAGAACACTGTATTCGAGGTAATGGAACCTGGTAAATCTCTGGTAACAGCCTAGAGAGAAGAGGTTTCATCTTCTAGTGGAAAACATTATCAGAACAATTTTTATTATATACCTAAAGCATTTTGGTATTTTCCAACTTTAATGATTTAGGAAAATCCTAAAAACTACAAAAACATCAGAGAAAATTAGGAGAAGTAGGTAAAACTAGTCAGTTGAGTCTGTACATAATCACTCATTCAACTCAGACCGTGGTCATCATTTCCTCTGCCACTGAGCTGAGAACTAGATGGGAATGTGGTTATGGAGGAAAAAGCATAGTGGGAAGTCAAGAGGTGCAGGAGTTTGCAAGACTCAGTTCTGCAGTTCTGTGGGGAGTTAGAATTAACTGATGCAAGACAGATGATTCTTCCAACAATGATAGCCACCATCAATGCAACATGGCAGATTTGAAGACTAGGTTAACTGAAAATAAGAGAAATAGTTGCATTTCATTTTTAAAATTATCCAACCTTATTTAGGAAACTAATACATTGTTTATTCTAGTAATAAATCAATATGTATGGTTATCAATAAATGTTTGGCACTTTCCAAGGCAGAAAAAACAACCTCTGGAAAAGTTCACCAAAGTATACACAGAACCGTTTAAACATTTTTTTTAAACATACACATTTAACTTTATTTCATGATTGTCATTTAAAGCTTGATTTTATAAAACATAAAAAGATGCTCTTAAGAGCGTCTGTATCATAGGAATTTGAAAAGTAGAAATATCCATAGCTTTGTAGGTTCAAGTTATATAAGTTGAAGATCAAGTATTTGGAAATTTTTTCAACATGGAAACTATACAATCAAATAAATGGTAAAAGGACCTAATAGCAATATTTCATTACTTATGGATTATCATTACTTACGTTCAGGATCTAAACAAAGACCATTGTCTAAATGTTTTAAAACTATTTAAAAGTCTTTGAAGTTGACCTTTCAAACCCCAAACTGTATGACATCAATAGCTGCTGAATAAAGAGGGTGTGTGTGCCCACACACTTGCTCTCTTTCTCTCTCTTTCAGTTCATGATATGTTTTTCATTGTGGCTGATTTGTCTTGCCATGAATGGTCTGTAGGGGAGTAGTTCTCTTTCTCCAAGGCTTCAAGTAGATCACTGTTACAGCCAATCCTGGTATTTACATCCCAGAGAAGTTCAAGTTTACTCTGGTAGAAATATAGATTAAATGAGAGTAAAAATATTAGTAAAAGAGAGACTATATTTCTCAGCAAAAGAAATGCTAAATCTCAACAAACCATGTCTAGATGGTAAGGAGATAAATTAGTATCAGAGAAAGATGACCTTTTCGCATGGACCAGAAGTAGTTCCCTTGAAGCTGATCAAAATAAGGATGGCCAATTTACCATTAGTTTATCCAGTTTGTTTTTTCTAATGACTGTGGACAGATAATGGCTAAAATTCAGTGCTTGTTTGTGTAGGACCCATCAGAAAAGTCAACATATTAGGATTTTTATTTTAACATCCCACTGGGCATATTTCAGAGAAGGATGCAGAATCCCTAGCCACTAGTAGTCAGAGAAGTGGTCCAGTTTGACCTGCACTGTTACCCAACAGATTTTCCTAAGGTACTAATCCAAGTAGTGCCTTTCTTTGCTTGAAATCCTGTGGCAGTTTCTCCCATAGCTTCAAATTCCTTGGCTTCGTACAAAATACTCTTTATAATCTGGCCTTAGTCCTGGCATTTATCACATTCTTCATAGTCACGGGTCTCCTATGTGTCTCTCCCACTATATGGTGAACTCCAATAGAATAGGAATTATATCTTCTTCATTTAGTATCCCCAGTGCTAGGCCCATAAAGAGCCTCAGCAAGTATTGGTTGAATGGTTGAATAGATGAATGGAAATGTTGTGATACCACTAAGCCCTAACATGGCTGTGTCTTTTCCTCCCCAAGGACTTTGGCATTATGTTCCTGCATCACCTTGTATCTATTTGCTTGATTACCTTTTCATATGTCAACAATATGGCCCGAGTAGGGACCCTGGTCCTCTGTCTCCACGATTCAGCTGATGCTCTTCTAGAGGTAAAAGTTTTCTTTCATCTTTAAGAAAACAAAATCAAGAATTCAGGAAGTCCCCGAGATCATTACTTTTGTGTTATGCTAGATGGTGCTGGGGGAAGATAGTATATTGCTGCTTTGAACTGCAGAGTGTTTCTTTGTAGGTTAAATTGGTGAAAGTGAGACTTTAAATTAATATATAAAATTTTGTACAAAAAATGTTCGTCATGTTAGCATTCTTTATTAATAGAATAATGAAAACCTTTACTATTCTACACTTAAAAAATGATTGCTTTACAATAGGAAATTCATTATTTGAATAAGTTTTGCTTCTGGTGTTATAAGTTTCACACTGGTTTATCTGGAAAGTGTATATAACTCAGTTTAGTTGTTAATGGGATATGTACATTCTGATGAAATTAATTAATAGTCATAGTTTTTATTGCCAATATACATATTACCGTAGTATTTTTACAGTGAAAAGTATATACAAATTGCATATTACATATAAAAACTATGTTTTCTATGCATGTAAGTATAAAAAGAGGAAATATTGGTTGCACTTTTATTAACTTTATAAATCATCATCATTTAGAATTATTAAAGTGGCAAAAAAAAATAGAAAACAAAAAATGCTTTTAGCATATTTCAGAAGATAAAATCCCAAGGAAAATTTTGTGATATTTACTCTTAATTATGGCCCCTGTGAAGAGACACACTCAATAATGTTATATAATTAAATGAAAATCTTTTCACTTTATACTAACAAATTTGTATAACTAGTCAAACATCAACTTACCAGAGTACAAATTCCTTGTAGAAAAGGGTTTTAGAATCTGTATTCTGATTTTTTATCCCTTTGGCCCACAGTTCTGCCTCTTTGAAGCATTTACTATCACTGTGAATATAGAATAGAGGTGCCCTCCAATAATGATGTGTTATTGCAATATAAGCACAAATCCCACACCATAAAACTGAATCTACTGTAAAGGCAATTAAGCAAGATTTGAAGTATATACGGCACTTTGTTAAACACTCTGGTCCCTATAAGGTTATGAAAAAACAAAAAAAAATGGTCCTAATGGGCTAGATATGACAGATGATAGTTTGGTGCTATGATTTTTAAGTGATTCAAGCTAGACTCTATTCTGCATATTTTTTTAAAGGCAAAATATAATTAGTATAAGGGCAATCCCCTGAAAATCAGTTGCCATTTGGTTAAATCCTAAGAATAGTCGAAAGTAGACCTTTATACAACAATCTACAGTTTTGAAATCAATACTATACAATCTGCCAACTTTAATCTCTATGGAAATGGCTGGCATGATGCTCTGCTGAGCCATGGTTCGGAAAATGTTGATTGAATCATCGTCTACCACTTTTATCCAGAAAAGAAAAATAATCCAGGAATCCCAGTCATGTGGCTTAAAAGCAAATGTTCTTCATCAAATGGATTCTTTTTGATGACGTTATAAAATAGTACTCAAGAATATCCAAATAATGAGTATGCTGACTGTCAGCTCTTCAAAGTGGGATCTATGGCTTAGACATTTTAGAAAAATTAATGTTTCATGCTTTTTTTTCTTGAATGCTGGTGAGTGAATATAAACGAACAACTGTATGGTTCACTTAGCCAGAAGGAGACAGAGAGGCTTCTTCTCTTTCTTAATATAATTTGCGGTGTCACACCCAAAGTGTTCACGAAATTCAAAGTTCATAATCTTGACTTCCACTCAGTTAACAGATATTTACCCTTAGGAATGCATTTCTCTCACAGCTTCGTATTTTACATAAAGCTATTAAATTACAGCTTCTGTGGATACTGTCAACAATCCTCTCAACTTTGACTCAGCTAATTTAACTTTCCAAGTAGAAAATAATGTTATGAATTCAGAAGACATCTTCAATTTATAACCCTGTGTGGGGGTGCTTGTGAATTGTACGTGAAAATGTAAAAAAAGATGATCAAGCAAAATAATGTTTTCACTGTCACCTGTTTTTACTTAGAATCATCTGTAAAAAGTAGGTGGTAGAATATTGTATGTCAACTATACTTCAATTTTTTAAAAGTGGATGATAGAGAAAGGGATGTGATTTTTTTCCCTAGACTAATTTGTAATACAAAAAGTGGTCATTGAAATCACTATTATAAATTATTGGAATATTTCTCACAGACACTTTGAACGTTAGTGACTTTATATAGAAAATGACCCATTAATGTAATTTTGAAAATCATACTTAAATGGATTCATTGAAATAACATGATCTTGACACATTATTCATTTCTAAATTTGTGAGAATAAGCCAAGAAACTGTCTCCTGAGAATACTCCTTATGGCTGTTTAAGGAAAACCTATAATTCTAAGTAGAAAGGAGAAAAAATCCAAAAGGTCTCCATATATTTTGTATAAAGTTTGTGGCCTTAGTGTTTAGGACTCATTAAAGGTTTGAAGGATTATCTAATAGTTTCTATTTTAGATTTGTTAATGCCAAATTCCTGTTTCGGTGACTTTGGTTTGCTAATATCAACTAAAATGCAAGAATTTTCTTATTTTTCTGTTTTCCTGAAATCAACCATATAATTGAATTTTTCAGGTTCCTGAATATTTTATTAAATCTGTGACAGTCATAGTTCTACTTATGGCTAATACTGCATTGCACTCGACTTATGGGTAATTTATAAATACTGATGCATGATACATGAGATTTCAAAGTAGCAGGCAGTTTTATGCATCTGGTAAGTTATATCTTAAAGGAGGCTCATGCATATTGAAAGAAGCTTTTCGTTTATCAGTTTAACTAAATTAATATGTCGCATTCCTTCCTTTCATAGGCTGCCAAAATGGCAAATTATGCAAAGTTTCAGAAAGTTTGTGATCTTCTGTTTGTCATGTTTGCCATGGTTTTTATCACCACACGACTGGGTATATTTCCTCTCTGGTGAGTATGCCAATCTTCTTTCTGATAGAGCCACTCCTTCCAGATAGGTTTTATGAACCATTTTCCTTTCGAATTTCACTCCAAATACTAAGAGATTTAAAGAAAATGGGAGAGAGAATCAAGAAACAGCTTGATTTCTTCTTGCAGAAGAGGGTTGCATCTTTACTAATATTTTCCACAGGATAGTTAGAGAAGGATGTGGCTTCCATGGGTTCTGAAGCTACGGAAAGCCATCTGCCATTTTAAGGTCTGGTCTAGAGTATGCTTCAAAAACCTTAGCCATGAAAATCTGAATAAAGGAAATAGGGTGTTGCAACCAGTTATATATCAGAGAATCTTCTGTACCAGGGGTTCCACAAAGCATGGTCCCTGGACTGGCAACAAAAGCATCACCAGGAAACTTGGTAGAAATGCGACTTACTAGACCCCACCCCAGACTGACTGAGTCACAAACTCTGGATGTGGGGCCTGGCAATCTGTATTTTGATAAGCCTTCCTGATTATTGCGTTCCACATTAAAGTCTGAGAACCACTGTCCTATAAACTTCTCCTCATCAGCTGTATTTACAGCCAAGTCAGATAGAAAGTATAATCTAAAACTAACCTCTAACATTCTCTATGGCCCCTTAATGTCTGGATGTCTCGTTTGGTTGAGAGCTAAGAAAACAATATGACAGATTTTGATGGAATTTGACAATCCTTTGTATAGAAAATAGGTTCATTGTCATTAATATTTTTCTGGAAGGCTATTACTTGAACTAGAAAAAAAAAAATGAGCCCTCCATGTCACTTAGAGTCTACCATTGATGGCAGATTTTTTTTCCATTTTGAGAATTGATTCGAATGGGAAATTAAAGCATTGGAAATTGGAGAAAGCCAAGGAATGAAGGGATGCAATAATACCTTGCTTTTCAGCTCCAATAGAAAAATAGCAATAATAAAGATGGGGCTTTTAAGTGAGTAACGTCTGTCACTGGGGTTCCATAAACAAATTAATAACACACACACACACATACACACACAAAACAGCTTCTCCTTAAGACTTGCAGCCCTTTTGGACACTTACTTATTATGAAAATAGTTTCCAAGCAGCAGCACTGTGCATTGCCAACAGGCATTTATAAAACCTTATTATAGTTTTATGTGATTGTAGATAGGAAACAAATATATATATCGAGTGTAATGTGTATGTAATTCTTTCAGGATTGGGGCTCTTTCGGTATTAGTAACAGAACTATTAGTAAGAATTTAAATAGAAGGAACTTGAGCAAAATCTTAGAATATTTCTCAAAAGACTAATAGAATGCTTTTCTTACTTAGGATTTTTGAGAACCTCAGTTTTAAAGAAATAAGCATCACTCTCAAGTATTTTGACTTGCTTACTTCTCTTTAAGGGTAGAATTAAAATGGAGATGCACTTCTTTTCCTCCCGTTTATGTGTAGAAAAGCTCTTCAGGTTTAGATAGCAATGAGTTACCTAGAACATAGACCCCATAATGTAGAAATTATGTAATGCTACTAATAAGATAACTCATAGGTCTGCCCTATGATGATGACATACTCTAACCGCTTAGAAAAATCCTTGTAACCAAATACAAAACAAGAGTTTATATTGCAAATGCTGGAGGGCTTCTGCTACCATGCCCCTGGTGCAGCCAGGTTTTTTAAAAGGCAACTTGTGGAAAGAAATATTTTACTGTAATACGAGAAATAATTTATATACCTGCTTCCATTGTAGTTGTGCATCTAGTGAATAAAATCCTTTTCACATATGTCTAGTAAGTTATGTTAGTGCCTGGATGACCTTTGTGTTGACCGTGTTTCAGTTACCGGAGTGTAATGGGTATTGTTTGTATCTAAAATTGCACTGTGAATGACAATAACAAATAATATCTTAAATATTTTCCTTAACACTATGGAATTATCCAAAAATTCCTTTTAGATTAGGGAATCCTAGAATTGGGAGGGACTCTATGGGTTACCGGCTCCAGACTCTCCTCCCACTCCCTCTGCCCAGGGTAGAAATTCTTCTACCAATTTCCCTGATCAGGAGTATTGCTTTAGATATTGAGGGAGAAAACGTTTCTTATAAGATATGGAAACCTGGGACCTTATAACTTCTCAGCTAGAGGCTCTTAATCTGGTTTAGACCTCCCCGAAACTCTTTGAAAAACGTGTATGTGTGTGTATTTTTTTCCTGAGGGGGAGGGCCCATGCTTTATCAGATTCTCAAAGAGATCTATGATTCCCTTCCTTCCTCAAAAAAGCGCCTTCTGGCAAACAGACTAAGTGTACCCTACTACTTCTAATTGAAAACTCTTAAGCATGGGACGATTTCTAGTGTATCTATAGGCTTTCTCTTCTTCAGAAAACATCTTTAATCCCTTCAATTATTCCTTCTTGTTGTTACCTTTTATTTGTTCCTCAGAATTCCACTTGTCGTGACGTTTCAAATGTGGACTGGCTAGTACAAAATATGGGAACTAAAAACCAGCCTTATTTAGACCTGCGTTTCTTCTATGCAGCTTTCCAGTGCGTTAGCTTTAAGCAGCTTTCACACAGTAGTGGTGATGATCTGATAAACATCTGAGCTGCTGCTCAATTAGATCTCTCTCATCCTAAATTTCTTTCTTTTTTTGTATTTTTATTTTGAATTATGATTTATTTGTATACCTAATAATACAAGCTACATTAATTCCAGTTAGATTTTATCATGCTGTTTTCAAATATTCTAGCCCAATTAGGATCTTCTGAACTGCATAGGCCCCCTTATCCATCATCAATTGCAGTCCAAAAATATTACATGGAAAATTCCAGAAATAAATATTTCATAAGTTTTAAATTGCACACCGTTCTGAGTAGTGAGATGAAATCTTGCACTGTCCCACTCCATCCCACCTTGGATGTGGACTATCCCTTTGTCCAGCATATCCACACTCTATATGCTACCCACCCATTAGTCGCTTAGTAGCCATCTTGGCTATCAGATCAACAGTTGAGGTACTGCAGTGCTTGTGTTCAAATAACCCTTTTTTTACTTAATAATGGCCCCAAAGTGCAAGTGTAGTGATGCTGGCAATTCGGAGAAGCCAAAGAGAAGCCATAAAGTGCTTCCTTTAAGTGAAAGGGTGAAAGTCCTTGACTTAAAGAAAGAAAAAAAATTGTATGCTGAGGTTGCTAAGATCTATGGTAACTTTTATTATAGTATATTGTTATAATTGCTCTATTTTATTATTGTTGTTGTTAATCTCTTACTGTGCCTAATTTGTAAGTTAAACTTTGTCGTAGGTATGTATTTACACATAGGAAAAAATGTAGTATATGTAGGGTTCAGTATTATCCATAGTTTCAGGCATCCACTGGGGTCTTGGAACGTATCCACAGTGGATAAGGGCGGACTACTATACATCCAGTGCAATGCTTACCCCTTCTGCTTTTATGCTACTTGCACATACACCTTTCATGCTACCCCAACTCATTGAAGAAGAAAGTTGACCCACAGGAACTCCTGGTACCCTACTGAAGAATTTCTTTAGATTGACCTCAATCTCTCAACCACCAGTCTTTGCTTATGCTTTTTCTACTTGTTACTGTCTTATAACTGCTCTGTCATCCTGCCTGCTATTTCTCCATGTTTTTTAAAGGTGCAATAAAAGACTTTGTCAAAGGTCGTATGAAAGTCAAGATTTACTGTTGTTTAAGACATCCTCTGCATATGTAGAGGCAGGATGAAAAAAAACTGTAAGGCCCATCTGCTGTGACCGACTTGAGGAGAACTTTGTTGGCTCCTGGCTCTTCATTTCTAAGTGCCCACCCCCATCTGTTTGGTAATCCATCTGCAATAGTCAGCTTACTGGTCTAAAATTCCTGACCTTTGCCTTTTACATATTGTTTATGTGTGGGCTTTTACCTTCCAAGATACTACCATTTTTTATACATTTAGTGAATATTTATTGGGCACTTACTGTATAACCAGTACTGGGCTGGGTGCTGAGAATTCAGTTAGACTAGGGCCTCTCTTGGGCTGCTGGCAGTTGAATCCCTACAGGTCCCTTCAATATTCAATATTCAGTATAATTCAGAATTATAATTTTGGGGAGCCTAGAAATATCAGAAATAAATTATTTTCTGAACATTTACTGAAGATAAATAATATAAATGGATTATCAATATTAAATAGTTTAGTTGTGTATATTAAGGAGCTCTGACAGCTAAATAAAGCATTATACTAGGTGGAATATGTGAGTGTGAAATAGTCACTGGCTACCGGAGAGAAGGTGCTAGAGGTAGATTGGACTTTACTTCTAATAAGCATTTCATAGACCTATTTCTCCTTCAATTGTGCTTCAGCTGGAAGAAGAAACAAAATTATTCTCTGTGCACTCTTATTTCTTTTAGTTTTCAATCTACTTACTTTAGAATCACCACCAATACCTTCCAGGTTCCTCCTGACTATATTTGTGCTCCCATGTGAGCCATCAGAATTTTTGTAATTCATGGGTTTAACGACACTTGGCTCATCCTCTATTATGTCTTCAGTCCTTGCCTCACAAAGACAGTATACATCACGATTAGTCTTTTCAGAACCATACACTGCTCAGACTTCTTTTTTGGCCACAAGACATCCTTCTAGAATAGAACTGTCCAATAGAAATATAATTCAGGCTTCATGGTAATTTTAAATTTTCTAGTAGCCACATTAAAAAAGTAAAAAGGAAAGGTGACATCCATTTAAATAATATTTTATTTAACTCAGTATATCCAAAATAATGTCATTTTAACATGTAATCAATATTAAAAATTATTGAGATATTTGCATTCTTTTATTGCATCCTAAATCTTTAGAGTTGGGTATGTTTTTTCACATTATTACATCTACTCAAGTCTTTGTATTTTAGCCTTTATGTTATGGATGGACAGTCAATGATTTGATCCTGTTTTGAGAGTAAGCCTATCTGTCATTGTAAGCTGTTACTATTTTCATTGATCTGCATCTGTGTTCCTCAACTCCATTTGTGTGTAATCCCTGAAGTTCCTAACAATTTCCCATATTTTATGAAGCTGTGGTTTCAATTGGCATAGAGTAGATTGTGCTTAATCTCTTTTTAGCATCTATCACGATGCCATGCTCACAATGGCTACTCAATAAATATTTGTTGAGTAAACTAGGTACTCATTCATTCTAAATGGCCTCACATCTGTTTTCTTAGTTGAGCTCTTTCAATCATTGTTAAGTAGATAAGTACAGTTTCTCCCTTATGAAACAGAGAAAACCAATTCATTTAGTCAATGATTTACCTACTCTCTCTGGACTCTGGTCTCCTGACATTGATTCAATTCAGCAAGGTCTTACTAAGTTCCAGTTGTTTTTTCTACAATACAATTCTATCTTCTTTAAGGATTGGGACATAAAACTATTGATAAGAGACATTTTTGGTAGTTGTTACATAAAAAAGAGTCATTTTAAAATGATTGTCCCTATCGTTCTGCCCCAGCCAAGACGCCATATTGTAAGCACCATCATCTCTCCTCAGGACGTTAGAATCTGGTAACAAAAAGGGCAAAGCTGCGAAAATCCTGAAAGGAAAGTAGCAGGGTGCCATCAGTAGGAAGACTGCTTGCTTTGAGTCATGGTTCTCCCCGTCACTGTGTGTCTGAAGACCAGGTGTATAACTTCTCTGCACCTGGCCTCATAAAAAATAAGAATAATAGTCATTTTTCCACCTTTCTTATCAGGAAATGTTGAGGATCAAATGAAATCCTGTTTGCAGCAGTGTTTTGTAACAATGAAATACTTTATAAATATTAAGTATTTGAAAAATATGTTGTATTACTGATAAAGATGGAAATTCCCATTATGGCCAAGTGGTCAGAAATTTTTATTGCATTTTATAACCTCCAGCCAGTCTAGATTAAGGAACCATAACCACAGATACTTTTGAAATAGAATTTTAAAATGCCCTCTCCAATTATGAGAGTCAAAATATCTTGTTTTTAATCTCTTCTGTTCTTTGTACTTAGTGAGCCTGTAGTATTGGACATGCACCAGGTTGCCTTATTCTTTAAAATCCTAAGTGACCATACCTATCCTGAGCTACTAGAGGTAACAATTACTATTCACAGAACCTCACAGAATTTCATAAAATGCGAGTATACATTAGGCTAGTTCTTTTCTGAAAGTCACACATTCACAAGTCGTTACCCAGCCAAGAATGGGCATACCATAATTGCCAGAACCTCTTCCTGTAGCCTAATGATGACTTTCTACGTCCTCATTCATGTCCCACTGAAAGCCAACCCCTTGGCTACAGGAAAGTTAGAGTCAAATATGTACCTTCAGAAATCTGCTGCTATTCAGACAGGAGCATGTGACTCAGAATTTTACTTTCTGTTGATGTCTATCCTGCAAAGTAGAAGAATTATTTGCTGATTTTGTATTTTCTGAAAGTCTCTTCAATTAAAAAGAAAAAAATTTACAGAGGAGCCTAAATCATTCTTTTACCATTTTCCATAATAAGACCTGAAATTTATCCAGATACATATGGGAGTATCATCTTCATCTCTGATTTATTTTTCAAAACATATTTTACCAAAGTAATGTGGCTTATATGCTTTTCTGAATATCTGATAAGAGTAGTCTCAGAGTTCACAAATTTGGAGGAGCTGGGGTGTTTTTTTCTAGAATCCCTTGACAGATTTTCTCTGAAATTTTCCTTGGTGCTGGTCTGTGTTAAATATATTTGAACTCAGTCATAAGAAACGATGAAATCCTGCCATTTGTGACAACATGGATGGACCTTGAGGGCATTATGCTGAGTGAAATAAGTCAGAGGGAGAAAGTCAAATACCGTATGATTTCACTCATAAGTAGAAGATAACAACAAACAAACACATAGACAGAGATTGGATTGGTGGTTACCAGAGGGGAAGGGGGGAGCGTGGAGGAGGAAAGGGGTAATTAGGCACACGTGCATGGTGATGGATGGTAGTTAGTCTTTGGGTGGTGAACATGTAATCTACACAGAAATCAAAATATGTAACGATGTACACCTGAAATTTGTATAGTGTTATAAACCAGTTATTGCAATAAAAAACAAATAAATAAATATATTTGAAAGATAAAGGATGAAACCCCAAATCTTTTAGCTATTAGGTATTTTGGCATGTTTTCCATGATACCTACATGTATTATTAGCAGTTAATACCTTCATGAGGTAGCGTAGAGTTGGATGGAAATAATGTGTGTTGAGAGGTTTTACCTCTTTTCATGTGAACATAATCATTTTAATATAATTTCAAGGATTAAAGGGCTAGACCAGGAGTCAACAAACTGTGGCCTGTAAGACAAATCAGCCCATGGTCTGTTTTATAAATAGAGTTTTATTGAAACACAACCTTGTCCATCTGTTATATATTGCTTTTGGCTGCTTTTTGCTACAAAGGCTCCAGTAGTTAAGACAGAGTATGTGGCCCACTAATCCTAAAACATTTACCAGCTGGTTCTTTACAGAAGAAGTTTGCCAGTTCCCAGGCTAGGCCATTAAGAATTAGGATGATGAGTAAAAATAAGGCAGTGGGAGGAATGATGTATTAAATGTATTCAGCTTTTGGATGTCCTCTGGAAATATTGTCTACCTTAGGCAAAAAACATGCAGGTGTTCTTAATATTGTTTGGGGGGTGGGGTGCAGAATATGCTCTCAATTAGATAAGGTTTTTCCTTTTGTGACCTGAGTCAACCAAAAACTTATCCTGGTAAGGCTCCATACACATAATTAATGTCTTTAAGTGTTTTCTCCCTCCCTCCCTATCACTGCAGAAAGTCCTTCACTGTAGGAAAGAGAAAAAAATTGAAAGGTTGTTTGCTCAAAGTATTAAAAAATATGTTTATATACCATCTATGGAAAAAATTCAGTATGGCCATTTTGTCTGTTTTAAAAATATCTGAGTGTTATAATAAAATCTAATGCCAGGACCAGAGATTTGCAAATTGTCTATTTGAACAAGAGTCTCACTTATTTGGGAGTGATGCTTTCTGAAAAATACTGTAACAGGTGAAGAACACACATCAGCTCTATTTCCATGTGCTTGTGCTACTATAGAGCTCAGTTGTATACCAGGCTAGTCTTCTCCTCCAGCACTTACCCTCACCACCCTGACTGTGGACCCTGGATCTCTCCTGCCAGCTTGCCGCTCTGTCCATGCTGAGCCCTTTTCAACAGTCCTGGGGTCAGCCTTCAGCCGGCTTGTGCCTGCCCATTGCCTCCTTCCCACTCTGGACCTGAGCCATCCCAGAAACCATCCCCTGCAGGATCCCAGTGTGCAGGGCTCTCGGGCACTGTGGGTGGAGGCCACCCTGGCTGTGTCGTTTTGTTCTCAGAACTCCATCCATGCCTGTGACTGTTGCCTCTGGGATGGCAGTGTAACCAAGGAGACAGAACCACATCATCACCAGCATGCCTGGAGTCACACTATCCTTTGTAGGAATATATCTTATCATGTATTATTATTTAACTTTTTATGTCTTTAGGACAAGGGAGCAAACACTGCAGATTCCTCATAGACAAGGAGCCATTTATTCTTTATAGATCTATTCAGTGCACTTCACTGTGAGTCTGCTGTGTGTCAGGCATAGTGTGGGTATTGGGGACATAGTTATTGCTTAGATCATGAGCCCAGGAATATCCAGCACTGCAAAACCATCAATAAATATTTGTCAAATGAATAAATGAAATTTTAGAATTTCCCATGCAGTTTGGCACAATCACAACTGGCACTTTGTAGCCCATGCCTGTCTCTTCTTATGATACAGAATAGGCCAGGCAGAGATGGTAAAGATGACAGTGACTCAGTACCTTTCAAAAGCAGGAGCATTCTAGCTACTGAATCATTTTGATCAGACTGCATTTATACAAACAGAATTGTGCAATTGTTTAATAAATACTGCCTTTGTGCACAGCAGATAATAAAGCAGAAATGCTTAATTTAGAATGCTAAATGTCAAAGCATTGGAAATATAGGAGTTAAATATATATAAGGAAAATTATAAAACAAGTAGATATACTGAAAATGGAAACTGTGACCAGGAGCCTTGTGGAGTGCATGGTGAGTGCTTGTGGCACGGTAGCTCCTGATTAGTGAGGCACAGAGAGAGGAGGTTGTCCAGAGGTTCTAAGCAATGTAGGAAGTGAGCAACTGTCCCAGAGGAGAAATAGAAAAAAAAAAAATGGAACATCTTTCCTCCATCCATGAGATCACCTGAGAAGTGAGCAAGAGCACACCAAACACTGTCTGTCCCAGGGCGCTGGATGTTGTTCTCAGCCACGAGTGGGGACTTCTCACCCTGCTTACGTCAGTGTCAGGTTAGGTGCCCAACCTTAGATTCATAGCAAACTCCACATTTCCCAGAGCAACTCGCACCCACCCATTTAGTTGTCTTAACTCCTGTTTTTGAATGGGCAGCATAGAAACCCACACCTAATTTTCACAGACACTGATGTCTTAGACTACTTCATATCCCGCAGGATCTCAGCCAACTAAAGAGAGTTGTCATAAAATACATATTTAATTGGCTTTGTTGGTTGCTGATATATTATATTGTCATCTTTGAGTTATATAGATCCAGGAGTTATGAAGAAATGTAGTATGAAGCATTCATTGAAATATTTATTAAAACTTGTTTGAAGAAATGATTCTGAACACAT